ATCCTAATGTATGTTTTAGACCAAATCGAATAAGATATAAATGATCACTTTTAACGAATACTATAACAATAGTTGTTGGTGAATCACGCATAAGTGGGCCATATGCTGATCAACTCAATCAACCTTAAGGTATATTTGTTGATAAAGCTACTAGTGCGTTGTATATAGCTGATCTATTAAATCGTCGCATACAAAATTGGCCAAAAAAATGCTTTAGAAGGTGTTACTGTAGCTAGTTCAGATGACGGTCAGCCAGGTTCTAATAATGCATCATTAGATAGACCATATGGTTTACGTGTTGATAAAAAAACAAAAATAGACTATGTAGTTAATTTATTGAACAATAGAATTCAACGTTGGAAGCATGATGAAACTGAAGGTGATACTATTGCTGGTGATAATGGTATGTTTATCATTTCATTTATATTTTCTCATCAATAGGAAGAGAAAAAATAGATATTAGAACTTTATCATCGATATTTGATTATGATGAATATAGTTTTGGAAGATGTAAGACTAAAGAAAGTTCTAAAATACTTTTAAAAATAATTGAGGAAAAATTTAATTTCATGAATTAAATATTTGATTATGCGAAGAAGAAAAAATGAACTACTTTTATGATTAGGTGAAGGGAATGAAAATAATCAATTTCGTCATCCAACTGATTTGACATTTGATAGTGATGGCAGTCTATATGTAAGTGATGTCTGAAATCATTGTGTTTAATTTTTTGCTTTAATTGATAATCGACCATGTCAAGCCCCATCCACAGGTAATTCTATTGTTCTTGTCTTTTTCTTCAATTTAATTTAATTTTTGTTTATATGTTTAGCGAGTTTCTCAATATACAGATAAGTAAAGCATAATTGAAAAATAACATTATGAAATATAATTTTTCTTATAGGTTACCAATAGCTTTATCTTTGGTACTTATTATAACTTGGATTATAATGAAACTATTGTGACTGTTCTATCACACTATGTAGTTGTGGCATATGTGATATTTTTATTTCATCTAAATGAATAAAACTCAACAATATTTCAGTCTATCATCGAATTATTCTATCTTAGAAGATAAATAAAAATGTCAAAAAAGATATAAAAAAGGATATGACGAAAAATCATGATGAGTTATGAAAGAGTATATTTCATATTTATCATATACATGTCTAAGAAATAAAAATGCTCATTCCACTCACGATGGAACGTCTCCAAATGAGATTATCCAATCAACCTGATATTTTGCGAACAAGTAATAGTGATGTAACCAGGAGATCGTGAGTAGTAGGGCAGTATTCTACGATCTTAGGAATAATCTATAAAATATAATGTCAATGATACTAATTAACGGGTGTGGCATAAGAAATTGCCGATTTTTGATAGATTATTTTCTCAAGTTAAGTTGGCTCAGAAAGTTTCATTCTGATGCTAAAAGATAGAAAATTTTGCTTAGATTTTATTGATATGTTCCTTTCAAAATGAGCATTTGTTCTTTTCCTGAGGCATTAAAGGTACTGTATATCACAAAAACATATTTTGCTAAACTGTAAAATGAGACATTTTTGAACAGAAACAGTTGTCCAGTTAATTTTAGTTCAAAAATTTCTTCTTAGTGGTAAGAGATGTAAAATTTTTCGGTATATCTAGTGTTATGTTGGTTTTTATATGCTAAGCTGTTTCTACTTAAAATAAAAACACAAAACACTAAAAAAAAATGTATGCTCAGCCAACAGAATCATAGATTTCGTTGCCAATGTTTTGAAAAATTGATTTTATAAAAAAAAGTATTCTTTTTATATCAATAGATGAAGAATTTCAAGCTCTACAAAGTGCTCTTTATCATAAGAATTGAATTACATTTGTAATTTAGTGATGAAGCTAAGATCTTTCCCTTGACAAAAAAGCGCCAAAGATGAACAAATAGACCTTTTTTTTTGCAAGTGGCTTTTTAAAAGAAGAAATATTTACCAGGGAATTTGGTGTTGTGTCTCAAAAACAAATATGTTTCTACGTTTTTTTCATACTGGATTTGAATAGCATCGATGAAATTATTTAACGAAGAAAAATGACAACTTATTCCAGTAAAATATTGAGCAAATTATGTTTTTGTGGTAGCCAGCATCTTTAGCACTACAAGAACAGAACAAAAGATCATTTTAAAAGGAACATATCCATAAAATCTAAGCAAAATTCTCGATCTTTTAACAGCACAACGAAGCTTTCTGATTGAGCATAAGTTGAGAAAACAGCCTATCAAATACTGGCAATTTCCTCTACCGTGCCCATTATTATGTTTTTCTTTGTTCCATTGATAGGATGGCAGTCGATGCAGCCCATTCTGGATTGCGCCACTACATTGAGAAAAGAAACATTAATGCTGTTTAATGTATACAATGATGTAATTTTTGTTCCAATCATATTTTTGAAACTTTCCGATTGTTGGGATGTTTGAATAGGATGAAAGTTTTAGTTTGATAGGGCCTATTCATGAGAAGTATGTCCATATACAACTACAGAAGTTCTTTTGTTTTTATTTTGCAACTCATTTTGATATATATCCTACTTATTCTTTCGACAAGTCATAGCAAAGTGAGGCGCATTCATCCTTTTCTCCATCGTCCTCTATATAAATCAACCAAAGCAATTGTGACGTGCAAAAAAATTCCAATAGATCGATGACGAAATTCTCCATTCTCTGTTGGAACTGGATGAATGGCATCTCAAAGAAGCGCTTTATACCAAAGAAAAACAAATGTCTGCTGGCCCGAACACATTAATACAACCATAGGCGTTATTTCTTTCCAACTTGCAAAACGTTATCTTGATTTCATTTTTTCTTCATTACCATAGAAAATAAATACGTGGCTGTTTTGCTTACCTTCTTCACAAAATGAACAAATTCTGTTTCTTTTTCTTTTTCTTTGTTTTGCTTCACCATGAGGATTGACTTGTTGATGCATATACACACTAGAGAAAGCAAACTTGATGTATTGTGCGTAAAAGAAATGCTTCGAACATTGCATCATTTAACCAATGAACCTGTGTTCAGACACAAGTTACTGACCAAAATTTCATTTATCTTCAAGAATTTAATCTAAAACATGTCTTAAAATGTACGGATAAAGACGATATTTTATCGATTCATAAAGAACTATTAGAACTTTGTTGAATTGATAATAAACCCAATTTCATGCAAAATTGAAAAGTTATGCATCGTTGTTTTAAAATATCATTAATGATCTTTGCAATCAGAACTAGATCTTGAGACTCAAATCAAATGATCACATTGAATGGTGAAATTTAGAAGGAAATGAAAATCATCATTTAGTGAGCTTAGTCAATTATATTTTCAATTCCAATCGTTTAAATATTTCACATTTTTTTAGCGCCTTATAAGATTATTTAATTCGAAAGCTTAATTTTATATGCTATGAAGCGAAGTTCAAATTTCAAACTCTGAAAGCGATATAAAACCCCTTCTGACATAAAAATGAAAGTCATTTTTATAAATTCATCATTGAACATTTAATGAATATAAAATTCGACTATATTATTAAATACTTAATAAGCTGCAGTACAACTATTGTAAAAAGTCAGCCATAATCTACTTCCGACTGCTCGTAAACTTTATGAATATTTATTCTCCACATTACTCTTGCCTCGTTCTTTCCTCCAACCTCTTTTTACTTTTTCTTTTACAAGAAGTATGTGTTTGCGCAGAACAATGTCAACACATAATCTTTGTCGTTAAATCAATCACTCTCTCTTCTTCTCTGCGAAATTCAATTCAACCTAAACAAAGGAAGAGAAGAAAGAGAAAGTTGTTTTCGTTGGTTTCATATAAAAAGACGTGGAGTAATTCAAATTGTATACGAGAAAAAAGTCTAAAAGGTTTAAAATATCACAATCTTAACGTGGTGTCATCATCGTAACTCAATACAACGTCATTAAAATCAACAAAGGAATTCACCATATTCTATAACAATGCTTCGATTCACTAACGTTGATCATAAACCAACACGACTTCCACCTGTCTATGGATATCGCACTCATCCGCTTCTTCCACTTCGACAAGCTCTTGATCCTATTGTCTCTAAAATAGATCAATTAGATGAATTTATTAAAATTGCAAAGAGTGAATGTCATTTTCCTTCAGAACATGGTCTTACTCGTGAAGAATCAGCGTCAATTTATTTATATACTATGGATTGGGGTGAACAAAGTCTCTATCGAATACTCAATGAAGTTCTTCGTGAGAAAGATCGATCTGTATTAATACCATGGCATGGTTATCTCAGATTATTTGATACTGCATTAAAAAAACTACCCAGTCTTCAAATCAACTTATGGCGTGGTATCAATGGTGACATTAGTAAAAATTACAAAGAAAACGATGAGCTAACTTGGTGGTGTTTTAGCTCGTGTTCATCTTCAGTTAAAGTCGTCAAACAGTTTCTTGGATCCATATCAACATTGTTCATGATTGAAGTAAAGAATGGAAAAGCTATATCAGTATATAGCAATTTTTCAGAAGAAAATGAAGTTATTCTTCCATTGGGTACTCGACTTCGTGTTGTCAGTGATGCGTTAGATCATGCGTCATTAAATGTGATACACTTGCGAGAATTGGTTGATGAAAATGATCAAGAATTAACATCATCCTTTGCAAATATGGGTGTCACTACATCAATCAAACATCAAATGGGTGAGTAGTTACTTTGTAATAGGTTAAGTAGACAATGATTGTTACTTCTTAGATTACAAAGAAACATTGCCAAATAACCAATCCTCAACATTTAAAATCTGGGCTGACGAAAATGGAAACAAATATGATATCACAGTTCGCATATCATATGACGGTAAATTTCGTTATTCAATGTTGATGAATACTTGTGAAATCTTTTACATTATAAGAGAACGACGACTAAGGAGCATGGAAGAACGGGAAAAAACACAGAAAAGGGACGTATTACTATGCCAGTGGGGAGAAGTATACAGGTGATTGGGTCGACGACAAGATAGCGGGTCAAGGTGTTTTTACTTGGCCAGATGGCAATCGATACGAGGGACAATTCAAGGATCACAAGAAGAACGGAAAAGGCACGCATTACTTTGCCAGTGGGAACAAGTATACAGGTGATTGGGTCGACGACATACGAACAGGTCAATGTGTTTTTACATGGGCCAATGGCGATCGATACGAGAAGGAGTATTCGCAAATGTCCTCATCTGGTCTGTTGTAATGGTCTATGTATAAGAAACAATAGTTGATACAATCTATGAACAACTGATGGGACAATTCAAGGATGACAATATGAACGGAAAAGGCACGTGTTACTTTGCCAATGGGGAGAAGTATACAGGTGACTGGGTCGACGACAAGAAAGCGGGTCAAGGTGTTCATACTTGGCCAGATGGCAATCGATACGAGAAGGAGTATTCTCAAATGTCCTCGTCTGATCTATTATAATGGTCTATGTATAAGAAAGAATAGTTGATACAATCTACGAACAACTGATGGGGCAATACAAGGATGACAAGAAGAACGGAAAAGGCACGTATTACTATGCCAATGGGAACAAGTATACAGGTGATTGGGTCAATGGCATGCAAACAGGTCAAGCTGTTTTTACATGGGCCGATGGCGATCGCTACGAGAAGGAGTATTCACAAATGTCCTCGTCTGATCTATTGTAATGGTCTATGTATAAGAAAGAATAGTTGATACAATCTATGAACAACTGATGGGACAATACAAGGATGACAAAAAGAACGGAAAAGGGACGTATTACTTTGCTAATGGGAACAAATATACAGGTGATTGGGTCGACGACATGCAAACAGGTCAAGGTGTTTTTACTTGGCCCAGTGGCAATCGATACGAGAAGGAGTATTCACAAATGTCTTCGCCTGATCTATTGTGATAGTCTATGTATAAGAAAGAATAGTTGATACAATCTATGAACAACTGATGGGACAATACAAGGATGGCAATATGAACGGAAAAGGTACGTATTACTTTGCCAGTGGGAAGAAGTATACAGGTGATTGGGTCGACGACATGCAAACAGGTCAAGGTGTTTATACTTGGCCCAATGGCGATCGCTACGAGAAGGAGTATTCACAAATGTCCTCGCCTGATCTATTGTGATGATCTATGTATAAGAAAGAATAGTTGATACAATCTATGAACAACTGATGGGACAATACAAGGATGACAAGAGAAACGGAAAAGGCACGTTTTACTTTGCCAATGGTAAAGTTCAAACAGGACAATGGTCAAATGATACCTTCATGGGATAATTTTATTTCTATTCTTTTATCACGTAAGATGCATCTCTCACCCAACCTTAATTATTTGTGTTTAGAATGAACAAAGTAAGTAAAAATCAAACGAGAACGATAAATCAGTTTTATTGTGCATATAGAATTATCAATAAATCCAAAAATAATGTTGAAAATTCTAATGAGCTAGATAGTAAAATAACAGGTATTATCGTCATGCGTCTAGTAGTTTTTAACAAGCTCTAGAAAGTAGTTGCGTTTGAAAACAGAAGAAATGCGAAAAAAGTTTGAGCGCATGTCTGCCAAAATAAAGAAGTCTGGTTAATGAGAGTGCGAATATAGAATGGAATGGAGGGTCTAGGCAAGAGTGACTCGCGAGGAATTTCCTAGCTCGAACTCACTATTATTACGCACACTCCACACCCACACGTGCAATCACCTGCAGCTACCTATACTCACAAACTCCTACTCGTGAAAGTCAATATGAAGTATTAACAACTCTTTTTATGATAAAAGAAAAGGACGAAAAATAACGAATAACATCAGGTTGAATGAACGTATTCTATTTACTCTTTTTCTCTTTAAATTTCTTTGTTATAATTTTGTTTAGAAATCAGAAGAACAAGTAACGCGACGCAAACGTCGCTAACCCTCTACTGAAAGGATGTGATTTCCTTGAACATATGGCACTGACGAAGAAGAAGACCACTGAACTAGTGTGCTGCTATGCATCTATAAAAAGATAAATAGTTCTCGTCACCGTGGCCCGCTTGCTAATTGATTGGATTTGATTTAACCATCGTGGGGTGTGAATGTGAAGTGTGGGTGTGGAGTGTGGGGTGTGGATGTAGAGTGTGGATGTAGAGTGTGGGTGCGGGGTGTGAGGTGTGGGTGTGGGCGTATGTCTTCACTTCATCCATACTCAGACCCATCCCACACGCATCCACCCACCCATACCCCACGATGGTTAAATCAAATCCAATCAATTAGCAAGCGAGCCATGGTGACGAGAACTATTTATCTTCTTATAGATGCATAGCAGCACATTAGTTCTGTGGTCTTCTTCGTGAGTACCATATTTTCAAGGAAATCACATCCTTTCAGTAGAGGGTTAGCGGCGTTTGCGTCGCGTTACTTGTATAGTAGCATTAACTACCACACATCACTAAAACTCACACAAAATACCCAAGAATACTGCCCCAACAGGTGCTCCAACCATACTCAAATCTAAACTGTCAGTTTCAAACACAAACACAGTGCCTACACTGGAAAAAAAAGGTGTAGTACCGAACCAAAAAAGGTATCGTAGACGAAAAAAAGGTTTCGTACATAGTACGGAACTTAAAAAGGTTTAGA